ACAATAAAACCACAAAGCAATAAAACCATAAAAACAAAGACTAAAACCCAGTGCCTCAGCTGTCCTTCTGGGATACCCCAGCAACCATCCATAGACTTTCATCACTCTACCCTAGCCCCTGGGGGAAAAGCCAGGTCTTTATGGCCTTCTGGAAGGCTAAAAGTGTGGGGTCCTGCTGGATTGTCAGTGGGAAGGTGTTCCATAGGATAGGGGCCGCCATAGAAAAGGCACACTTCCTTGGTCTCACTAGATGGCAATATTTCCGGGAAGGGGCCTGGAATGTGCCCACTCTATCCACCTGGTAGGGCAGGCAGGTGCCCTCAAGGAGAGGCAGTCCCACAAATAACCAAGCCCCATGTCATATAAGTCTTTAAAGGGGATAACCAGCACCTTGAATTGCACCCAAAAAGAAACTGGGAGGTAGTGCAGTTTGCGCAACAGTGGTGTGACACGGGCAAACCAAGGGGCACCCAACACTGTGCGTGCCACCACATTCTGGACCAGTTGTAGCTTCTGGGTGGTCTTCAAGGGTAGCCCAATGCTGAGCATAATGCAGTAGTCCAACCAAAAAGTGACTAAGGGATGAGTGAAGTGAGCAAGGCCTCCCTGTCCAGGAATGGGCACAATTGGTGGATGAGATAAATCTCTGCAAAGGTCCCCTAGCCACGACTGCCACCTGCTCCTTGAGCAAGAGGCACAAGTCCAGGAGGACCCCCAAATTGCATACCAACTCTGTCCAGGGAAATGCAACCCCATCGAGGATCAAAGGTGACATTTCACCAGAACCTGGGGGGCCAAAAACCCAAAGTCAAACCCAAAAGTACTACCATGTGGCATTTTTAGTAGGAGTCTTTATACTCCTTTAAACCATTTAACTTTTCTAAGCCCTCAATGTGCATACTGGTGTTCAGGCTGAATGCTTTGTATCTATTTTTACTTGAGATTTGTTCTCAGTTTTATGTGCACATGATTATGCTTTATGTTTATATGAGCATCAGGGATAATTTTATTTAAATATTCCATTATATAAATTCTTAAAATGTTTTAGTCTACACATAGTTTATTCATATGATACACTTTCTTAGCATTATAACTCTGTTCCTCTCTGAAAGCTAACTGTATATTATAATTTTTAAAGACTTGTATAAACAAATTTATGTTGCTATTTACTTGCTATTCATGTAAGTATGTATCAGAAATATCACTATTTATTTGCTTTGGGTTAGAAGAATTCGTTTATAGATAATCACAAACATTTTGTTGCAGAAAAATAAATATAAAACTTCAATATATCTAAACTTATATTACATCTTTTTTTGTCAAGGTGATGGTGTTTGTTCATGCTCGAAATGCAACAGTCAGGACTGCTATGGCTCTTCGTGAAAAAGCTAAAAACAATGGCCATATTTGCTATTTTTTACCATCCCAAGGTCCTGATTATGGACAATCAGAAAAACAAGTAAGTGAAAGTTTTGTTTGTTTAAAACAAGATCCATTAATGTACAAAATCTCATTAGATATAATAAGAGTTTATGAGAAGCAATGTGGTATAGTGTTTAAGGTGCTGGAAGGAGCTGGCAGACCCACATTGTAGTTCTCCCTTGGGACAGAAGCTGTCTGGGTGACTCTGACCCCTAGATGGGGAGTCATAAAACACCTATCTTCCAACCTGCACTAGACCAGTGTGGCAGATTATGGTTCATAACCGTCAGTGAAGAGATCTTCATCCAGCAGTGGATAACAACAACAGCTGCAACATAGAAATCTATTTTTGAAAATATTAAGGCTACTCTATTTTTGCTCTTTTTCTTAATTATTTGATTGGCAAGTTTTTTTTCAAGGAGCACAGTGACTTAATAACTGTCACTCAAAATTAATGTATGAGTTTTCACCTGCATATCTGTTCCTAAGTATAAAAGGTACTGGAAGGGCTGCTTAAAGCCCATTGCTATTACTTTTTGGCATGTGCCCTTATCTCAACCTCAAAAGATGCCACCTATGTAGGAAATGTTACCAATCTGTTACATTCCCATGCCACTGTTTGTACCATTCTCACAAGGGTAAAACTGGCTTGAGAAGCACCATATTGCAGCTTAGTTCTCTTTTCCCCAGCCTGGTGGCCACCAGATGGATTGGACTACAACTCAGCCCCAACTAGTATAGGGATTGTAGTCTAGCACATCTAGAAGACACCACGCTGAGAAGCTGACTTAGCCTTCATCCTGGAGAAATACTGAGAGCCTCTTACTGCAGTGGTCCCTGGTTCTTGTGAAAGTAATGTCTGGACTCCCAGTATAAATAATTGGGGATTAGAGAGCAACTTTACTTGTTGAAAGAAGGAATAATTTGCTTCGGCATCTAGTTTCCTTGGAATATAAAGCTGAAGCAAAGCATATTCATTCCTCTTTGCCTGATAGGAGAAAAGCTATCTAGATCCAGTTCCATAACTGAACTCTGTCCTCATTGAGCCATCTCATACCCATTCCCTTTACAGTACAGTTCAATTGTCCCTGCTTTTTAAACCAAACTGCTTGTTTGATTAAGTCCAAGTGGCCTAATTTGGTATTCCTCATAGTGGTTATATTTATATTCTTCATGCTTGTTTGAGGGTTTTTTTTTTTTATGTTGAACTTTAGAATCACAAATATAGCTTTTCTTCAGGCAGAGATTCAGCTTTTAACATGAGCAAGTTAATCTAAGACATTTCTATCATCACCACCATCACTACATTCCTACTCCATGGAGAAAAGTAAACCTGCCCCCACTACGGTATTCTTAAAGAATCTAAGATAACTCTCACATTTTAACATCAATTTGTTTGGGGGAAAGGTAGTCTTCTTTTCAGGTAAATACAACAATCAAGAGATTTTATGAGCTTTGAATATCTTAAATTAGCTTACAAACTGGAATGGAGCTGAAATAGATCCCCTGAAAAGGAGTAAGGGTATGGGGACCTAACTTCATCAAAGCTGTTTGCTACAATTTTTGTTCATAAGTTTGCCCAGCAGTTGCAAGAATTTTGAGAACTTACTTTAAGCTAACCATGCTAAGGCTTAAATCCCTGTTCTCACTGCCTAAACCAACTAAAATAAAGCTAATAAAGTTTTTGCCTTATTCAATTACCCAGTTTATTTTTTAACTCTCTTATTTCTTCCCAGCTACATTGCAAACAAAAGATTACTTATAGCGAATTTACGTTAGATGAATATGTTCTGTCTACTGATGAAATTCCACAAAGAAATTTGAGTATATTCATATTTTTCTTTTTGTCGGTGCTTCATGACATGCCATTCTAAGTAAGATCAATTTGTTCAGTAATGTCTACATCTCACTAAAAGATTAATATTTCCTGTAAGTGATGGTTTGCTGCTCAAGTCCTTAAGTTGCTCTCTCATTAGAAATAATTAAAGGAGATACTTCACTGCCTAGTGAGACACATGAACAAAAGAGATGTTTTCATCCATTCAAGTTTTCAGAAAAGAATCATTTATAATTCCTATCAAAATTTGGCTCACTTATGTAAAAGTACTTATGTACATAACAAAATGTACATCAAAGATTTGATTCAGATATGACCTTGTTTTTTATACATATAAATTTTATTAAAAGTTTTAAAAAGAAGATAAAAACTAACAAAAACTAATACAGAGTAAAGAAAGAGAAGGAAGGGAAAGAGAAAGACGAAAGACAAAAGTGTAAAAAGAAAAGATGAAAAGGAATATAAAGAAGCTTCTGATTTCTTTGCAGCAAATACAAGCTGCAAAATTATCTCTTACTCTATGGTTACAAAAAGAAAAGCTCTCTTTTTTCTATTATCTACTTTTGTTCTTAATCATCAAAACCACAAATCATCAGTTCATTTTTTTCTGTTTAATGCAAAAAGTCCAGATATAACCTTGCTTAATGGTTCAGCAGCTTGCTGCTTTTAGCAACCTTTTGTCTATTTTTTTCATCTCTGATGTTATAAATGTTAACAAGTAAATTTTGCTTTTGAAAAAACAATATAATGAATGCATGAAAAGGAAAGGTTTAATGTATGTATAATAAGATGGCATACCATCAACTAACCAGTTGTTCTTGCCCTATATTCAGGTAACAACTTTCCCAAATTAAAAAACTAACAATTTTCTACAACTATCGATCAGTCTCAACCCATTTCACTTGGGCTTCAGGCTGGGATTTAGTACTGAGACAACGTTGGTCATGCTTGCTGATGACTGGCAGAGCCAGGATGGAGAGGGTGCATTCATCCTTATGCTCCTTGATCTCTCCGTGGCTTTTGATACAGTCAACCATAGTATCCTTCTGAGCTGGCTCTGTGGGTTGGTGGCACAGTTTTATGGTGGTTCTCTTTCTTTATCTGCAGCCAATTCCAGTCAGCATTGATTGGTGGTGGAGAGATCACTCCCTAGGCCCTCCTGTGTGGGATGCAGGGTTCTACTCTCTCTCCCCTCCTTTTCAACATCTACATGAAACTATTGATAAGGTCATCCACCAGTTTGGGATTCGGTATCATCACTATACTGATGATTCCCAACTATATCTGTTGACCCCAGGCCAGCCAAGTGAGTCTGTCAAAGTTCTGCCCCAGTGCCTAGAGGCTGTGTGGGTTTGGATGGGAAGGAACTACCTCTGACTCAATCCTACCAAAACCAAGTGGCTGTGGATGTTTTGGCCCCCCAGATCTAGGGATATTGCATCTTTGACCTTGGATGGGGTTGTACTTCCCCATTCAAGGGTAGTGTGTAATCTGTACTCACAACTCCTGATCAACAAACAGGTGGCAGCTGCGGCCAGAATGGCCTTTGCACAATTTTATCTGGTGTGCTAGTTGTGCCTTTACCTAGATTGGGGTGCCCTTCAGATAGTAGCTCATGCCTTGGGCATCTCACAGCCTGACTATTCCAATGCACTGTACATGGGGCTGTCCTTGAAGACCATCCAGAAGTTCCAACTGGTCCAGAATTTAGTGGCGCAGGCAGCGATGGGCATGCCTTGGTATGCCCATGTAACCTACCATGGTAACATACAACTGCACCGGTTGCCAGTTTGCTTCCAGGTGCAATTGATGGTGCTGGTTGTTACCTGTAAAACCCTACATGGCATAGGGCCTGGTTACTTGAGGTCTGTCAATCTGGCAGGGTTGCTGCACTCCAGGTCCCTTCAATTAAATAATGTCATCAGGATCCTGGAAGCACACCCTATCTGTAGCAGCACCTGCCATCTGGTATGAGGTTCCCTCAAGATCTGGATGGCCCCCACCCTGCTATTGTTTATAAGGGATCCTCACCCCTGCCTTTGGCGATAGTGAGAGCCATCTTTTATCTTTTTTTTTCTTCTTTTTTAATTGATTTTATTGTAATTTCCTTGTTTTGGTGGTTGTGAGCTGCCCAGAGTCATTGGAAGTCAGATGGCATACAAATTTGATAAATAAATAAAAAAAGATAATCAATCAACAGAACGTTTACTGATGCCATTATGGTTGTCTTATAATGGGAATATCCAAGGCCACAAAAGATGGTCTCTCCATTCTGCTGTCCATTCTGAATAAAGGTGGACCCACTTGTTTATTTATTAGATTTATATACTACCTTTTCTCCAGGAGCTCAAGATGGCTTACATTGGGATTTTCCTTCATTTTACTTCATAGCAGCCCTATGTGATAGACTGGGCTAAGAAAGAAGAACTAGTCCAAAATTGAGTTTCTGTGGTTGAGGGTCGACTTGAACCTGAGTCTCCCCATTCCTAGTCCAACACCTGAACCACTTTATTATACTGATACTTTGTTACAGGATTCTTCCACTTACCCTTCAACTGTATTAAGTTGATCTAATGTTGCTATGCTAGCAAGGTTATGCTCAAAATCCTACAAGCTAGGCTTCAGCAATACATGAACAGAGAACTACCGGATGTACAAGCTGGGTTTCGAAAGAGGCAGAGGAACTAGAGAT